AAGGATTCTCTTTCCCACTGGTTTTTCTTGCCTCAAAGAGTTTTAAAAGATTATCTTTGAACGAAAGCTACCACTCCCAAATGACAATATTTCAATTTATAATTATCATCTTTATGAGAATGTGGGTTGCCTCTGGTTTTTATTTCTTCCATGAGAGAGAGAATCTCTGACAAGGTCTTGATGTCACAATCCACCCCCAGTCTCCAGACAGCCCTGAATCATGGAAAAGTGTGTGCCCAGCATATTCAGGGAAGTCTCTAGACTTGACCCAGGACCCCTTCCACTGTAGCACTGCCTTGCAGAGCGTCATACTTTACCACTGTGCCACCATCTGGCCCCAGTTTTTTGTTTTTTTTTTTTTATTTTATTTCAAAAACTGACACTGACTAAGGCTTAAAATAAGAACTGGATTCTGCCTTTCATTTTGAACACAATATTTAATAAATTACATGGGACATTCAATATTTTACTGTAAAATAGGATGTGTTATATTATTTTACCCAAGGGTAGGTTAATATATGCATTTGAGCACGTGTAAGATAGGCTAGGCTAAACTATGATTTTCAATACATTAGATGTATTAAATACATTTTTTAATTGCCAGAGAGCACGTGTGCTTACCAGAGAGAGAGAGAGAGAGAGAGAGAAAGAGAGAGAGAGAGAGCGAGCGAGCGCATGTACAACCTCCAAAAGGGCATGGTCACATCACAATCCCTTCTCCATCCATTAAGTTTTGGACACACAGATGCACTTGGTATGTTTTACAAGCTACCAGGGATGGGATTCAAACCACAGTCAGCTATGTGGGATTTGGCTCCCTTAATTACTAGGTTATGGGAACTAACTTAAATCCATCTTCTTTTTTTTTTTTTAAAGGTTTTTGCCATAGGGTATGTGTACTTTCCAGAGATAGAGAAAGACAGACAGGGAAATGGAAAGTAAGAAATCATCCCCAGGACAGATGGCCATGCCACAATCCCTTCTCCTCAATTCTTCTCTTGGGATTTTGGGTACACATGCCCAGTAGGATTTTTAAGCTGCTATGTCTAGGATTCAAACCATGGTCAGCCATGTGGGAGTCCTGTGTCTTAAACACTATGCCACCTGCTGTCCCCAGTGCATTTTTAATTTAGAATATTTTCAACTCATGATGGTTTTTATCTGGAGGTAACCCTATTATAAGTTAAGGAGCAACTATATACCATTCCTTAAATAATGATTCTCAAATTTTAGCATGCCATCTAAATCATGGGAGAGGTTCGTTGCAACACATATTGTTGGGTTCCACCACCGGCTTTAGATTCAACAGGTCCACAGTGGACCTGGAAATCTACATTTCCAACCTATTCCCAGATGATGTGGATGTTGCTAGTCTAGGACTCAGTTTGAGAATCGCTGATCCAAGAAAACACGAAGATTGAGAAGACAGAAATTGAAACTTGCTTACTCAAGTACCATGGTGCCTGCAAACAGAGCAGGCTGAAATAAAATAAGTCAGACCTAAGTATTGTTTGCCTCTCTTCTCTACGAGCTCTATCAAAGCATCTACAGCAGAGTAGGCCACAGAAGAAACACCTAGAAACAGTCTTTCGTTCTTAATCTTTAATGTAGTAACTGAAGCTTGATTAGCTTTCCCTTACATTGCAAAGAGGTGGATTCTATCTATTACCTATTAACTTCATAAACCTCTGAAAACTAACCTCTATATTCCTTCCTCCTTCCTCAAACTCTATTGAAGCTGAAATTTTAAAAGCCCCTAATGACCTCCTAATTGCCCAAACCACTAGGGTCTTAATCTCTATTTTTGCTAACCTTTCCATAACACTTTGTTTTAGCAACTGGTTTGACTCAGAAATTCCCATCTGCTTTAGCCTCCATGGTTCATCTTTTATTTAAATAGACTCTCTGTCTCTTTGATGGGAACTCCTCAGATAAAATTATGACCACAGTTCTTAAGTAAGGAATGAGTCGTTTCCTAGAACAGAGGCTGAGATCTACATCAAAGAAGAATAAGAAAATTCTGCAAACATTCTAGTTCAGGGATCATGCATGTTGCTCTCCTGACAAGTAGAACTCCTTCTACAGATTAAGAGGAAACCTTTTTCCTCTGTAAAAAAGAAAAAGAATTATATAAATGCATTTCAATATGGACTCTTAGTTTCTACACCAGGGAAGGTAATAAAAAGGCAGAACACCCTTTCCTTGGGCACAGGTAGCAAAGATCTAATCTAAAAATTGTCTTGGCCCTAGAACTAACAGAAAAAGGGCATATGAAATCTTTTGAACAGTCTCTATCCTCTTGTGTTCTGAAATTCCCATCACATTGAAATTTTTAAAAATTTAAAATGGCATGGTCCAATAGGAAAGCACTCCCCAAGGCTGGCAGACTTCCTCTAGTCTTCTTGGCATCTCCTCCTGGCACATTCTTCCCACAAAATCCCCAGTTTCTACTCTGATTTACTCTAGAAGTTCACCTTTATGGGAATTATTCCAAAAGCACTAGCCTCTGCCCAAACTTTTAGCAAGTACAGCTCTATCAGAAATGTCCAGCAATTACCCTCCCCCCAATATCACCTCGAGCTAATATGTAAACATAGCTTTAACTTGCTTTCCAACCTAAAATCTATGACCACAACTAATCTTTAACACAGTCCTCTGCTCCAAACTGGCTCTCTCCTTCCCACCAGCACTCCTCTGTCAGTAGAAATCATGTTTCCCCACCTTAGCATCTCAGAATCTATTTTTTTTTTTTTTTTTTTTGGGGAGGATTTTTGCTACAGGCGCCGCTCACCAGACAGACAGAACGAGATGGAGAGATAGAAAGTGAGAAATCACCCCCTGGGGGGATGGCCGTGCTGCAATCCCTTCTCCTCCATTCTCCTCTCAGGATCTTGGGCACACATGCACACCCGCCCGATGTGAGCTTAAGCCACCAGGTCCAGGACTCAAACCACAGTCAACTATGTGGGAGTCCAGCAACATAGCCATTATGCCAACTGCTGGTCCTAGAACCTCAGAATCTTAAGTCTCCCCTCACTCACCATGTACCCATGAATGAGACATGAAGATAAGTGCCTTAAACACTGTATATATCTTTCATAAATTAGCACTATGCACAAAGCTGGCACTCAAAAAAGAAGTGAGATAAGAAGTATTTTTTTAATCCACAATTCCAGAATCTAGCCCCTCCTCATCCCAACACTCACTAATTCTATTTAATTACATTGCTGTCCCTGCAAACTACTCCTGTCTGGCCTTTTCACCTATCTTTATCTATTTCAATCCATTCTCTACCTAGTAACCAGCTTTCCCTCAAAGTAATCTCACTCTCATGCTAAAAAACAAAATCTTTGATTCCAGCGCCAACAAGTGGAGTAGTGGCTAAAGTACTGGACTTCCACTGTGGACCACAATTCTAGTCCCAGACTCAGCAGCTTGAAAATCATGCCAGGAGCATGTGTATACTCAAAATCCCGAGAGAAGAATGGAGAAGAGATTGCTGTGCGCCATTATCCCCAGGGGATGGCAAGCACATGCACCCTGTGGCAAAAACCTAAAAACAATAACAAAATAAGTTAACTTTGTTATCATATCCCTCCATTACTCAAAAGATATCATGCTTAATATCCACAAGCTTTCATGCCCCCCCCCGTGTAATGTATCTTTTTTTAAAGATTTATTTTACCTATGATTATTATTATTATTATCACATGAGTTTTGCCAGAGGAAGGAGAGGGGAGAAAGCAATCTGCCAGGTCCAGGACTAGAACCACAGTTGGCCCTGTGGGAATTCTAGCGCCTTAACTACCAGCCTCCTGTTGGCCCCTGTGCAGTATATCTTAATGATGAGCTTCCTGTCAGCAAACTTGGCCTTTTCCCTTTGCCTGCCCTCTGTGCTCCCACTGAACACTTGCCTACTGCATCCTAGTTATGTACCATGTTTGAACAGCCTATAAAAGGTAATTCCTTCAGCTGGAGCCCGCTTCACTCAACAAACCTTGGCAGACTGCTCACAAGGGGCACATAATAAAGTGTCTGTTGAATGAGCTTATATATCCAAAAGAACAAAACCTTTCAAAGTTTTTATTTCATTGGGAGCCTGTAGAGTTAGTTTGGCAATGCAGTCACTGCTCAAAACACTTTTGGAACTTCTCTTTTGCCATTTGGAAGTGGGCTTAAGAACCTGTTTTCTCTCCACAGAAGAAAATCAGTCCCCTTAACTTTATACTCATGAAACATTTTCAACCAAAAATAGCAGAGCCAAATGTGAGCATTGCCATCCTCCACCCACTCGCCTTCATCATATGGATTTGTGCCCAAACAACTTCTGGCCCTTTCAAACAAGGAAACTCTTCTTCAAAGGATAGACTGGTTGTCGTGGACATTGTGCCACAGGCTCTAGAAATAATTTCAAATGGAAATGCAAAAAGGTTTTGCCAATGGTAGCGCCATTAGAAAAAGCATAGTATCTCAAATAGCTTCCTCAATCTGAAGACTGAGTATGTATGATTAAGCACAAGTTTTATTTTTCAAAGGGCATTTCATTTCACCTTGCTTAATATCTGTTGAATGAAATTATTAAAGAAAAAGTCTCAATTTCTCCAAATAGTAAAAAGGGCGTAAGTCTTCCCCATTGACTCCATGAATGCCAAAACCATTGAAAACTAAACTTAAACATTGTCAAATGAATTCCCGAAATTGTAAGATTCTGCTTTAATAACTTCATTAGAATATTCCTCAGGAAGAAACACCCTACCCCCAAAACTGCACTAACCTTTTCCAATGAAAGGGTTTCATCATTTGAAAAACTGATGCCATAAACACGATGAAGGGGCAGGTCCCTATCTTGCTTAACTCAACGTGTATTGAACAGGGTGCTCTACCCATTCCAGGTGACTGAGGGACAAGAGAAAGAAAAGGACACAGCCCTAGTACTCAAGCTTTCAAAACCATTCCCGACATCTTTCCAAAACACTGATAGGTTCGTAACCACCCATCCCTGGTGAAGCAGTTTACAAGGATGTGTCTACACTCCCGAATTGACTTGGGGACAGATAAGTCTCTTTATCCTCACATCATCCTTGTAGGAAGGGGAGAAAGGTTGATCTTCCCCATCACTGAGCTGGGAAAATTAAGGAAGCAGCGAGGTGAGGGAAGGTCCACACCTTTCCCTTTTCCTCCTGGCCAGCACCACTGGCAGAAGCCAGGATACGTGACATCCCAACCCCAAGCTCGCTAATTCAGTGATATGGAAAAACCAAAACTCCAGCTCCTTTCTGCAGAAACGCACAGGGACCCAGACACCGCCCGGCCCCATCTTCTGGGAGCTGCAGGTGGAGGCATGGTAATGGTGGACAGGAGGCGAAGGGGAGGGAGGGGCGCGCTCCTGTGCCGGCTCACCGTCCCCTCCTTCCCGACAAGTCGCTGCCAAGGCAACCCGAGGCCACAGAACCGGGGACCCCCTTCTTCCCGCCCACAACGGGTACCTTCGAGTACTCCTGAGCCAGCTTCTGGTACTTCCCCTGCAACTCTGCCAAGGCTGTGGCCTATCATGCCCATCCATGTCACGCTTTTTTTTTGGGGTGGGAGGAAGACGGCGTTGGACCGGGGGCGGGGCGACTACCGGGGGCGGGGCGACGTTTTAACGCCACCGCCCCACCCTCCGCGCCCGATCACGTGCGCAGCCTCGCCGGCGCACTGGGGTTTAGACTCTGGGACCCGAGGCGCCATCTTGATTCATGGTTCAAGATGGCGACCCGGAGCGGAGCAGGAAGGAATGAAGAGGGGAAAGGGTGAGAGCCTATAGAATGGGTGGGAAACCGAGGAGAGGAACTGTGGTTGAGAAGAGCAAAGGACCGGAAGAAGAAACATTCTAAGCGCATCAAGAATTCTGGCCAAAGCAGGCCCCGTGGTTCCCATGGCAACCGTCTGGCGTGTGATGGTTCCATCTTGAAGAATGAGCGTGCAGAGAAAAACCTCTGTATTCCGCTGTCTCCTTATCCTCATGTGGTAGCTCGGGATATACGCTGCACTGTAAACGCTCAGATCCCCTAATTTATAAGCTTCCTGATGCCACTCTTGCTTCACATCAGACGAACTTCGTTGTCTTTCGATTTCTTTGTGTCTGTTCTGTACCCACTCTTCGCCTACCCCCGCCCCCATACGCACACCACATCAGTGGATTGAATAAAAAGCCGTTAGGAAACTTCAGGGAATGATTGCTGCCATGCATGCAGATAAAGTGGACGTTAACAGCAAAAAAAACCCTAGAGGATTAAAGCATAAACTAGTCTACCTGAGCTATTCTGTACCGCTTGTGCTTGAATTAAAACCTGTCTCCAGTTACTTATTTTTTAGATATTCTAGGCATTACTTTATGCATTCACTGATGGAGGAAAGCAAAAGTAAATTTGTGGTGTGTGCTTGGCAGACATGATATGGCAGTTAAAATAGACAGAATGACAGACCTATATACATACATCTGGGTATAGTAACATGGCGAAAGGTAAAAAGCAAATTGCAATGTACTGTACTATGAAAAGACACTTTTTTAAAATTATTTTATTTAACTTTATTTACTTATTTATTTTAATTTGACCAAAGAGGGACAAAATGGAGGGGAGGAGTGAGAAAGCAAGCGACCAATTCTGGGAATCGAACCATGGTTAACCATGTGGGAGTCCATGACAACTACTGGCAGGAAAAGACACATTTACAAAGTAGTGTCTGTGTTACTCATGAGTACGTGAACATGTACTGAAAATAAAGAATGGAGAAGTGAAAGAATACACATCAAATTCTGGATAGTGGTTTCCTCTAGTTAGAAAAGGGAAGAACAAAGGAACATAAACCTTATTTTTATTTCTTTAATTTTTTGAAGATAAATATGACAGAATGTTAAAATTTACTATCTCTGTAATAAGTACAGTAATGTTATATTGCCACGTTAGAATGCTGGAAGGCCAGCAGGTGGCATGGTAGTTAATGAGGATAGTTTCCCACTTGGCTATGTGGTTGGAGTACTCAACCTTGTAACTTGAAAAATACTCCAAGAGTGTGTATGTGTGTGTGTGTGGGGGGGTTTTCGCACGCACACGCGCATGGAGGGGGGATTGGGGGGCTGCCCAAGAGGAGCATGGAGGAGAAGGGAATGCAACATGACCATCACCCCTCAAGGCTAGTTTCTCAGTTTCTCTCTCAGACTCTCTGTCTCTCTTAACTGAGTGCATGTGCCCTCTAGCAAATTAAGAAAAAAAGCTTGGCATTTTCCATGATGAAAACAATTATTTGTTCTATTCTGGTTTCTTTTTTTTAATGTAAAGAATTATTTTATTCAACTTTATTTATTTTAATTTGACTAGAGAGGGATAGAGCAAGAGAAAGGAAAATTTCGGCCATGTGGGAGTCCAATGCCCTTAACCATCATGCCACCTGCCAACCCCTCTATTCTGGTTTCCTGTTTGGCTATAAATAAGCTCTTTTTTTTTTTTTTTTTGGCTAGAGGGCATGTGTACTCATGAGAGAGAAACAGAGAGACAGAGAGTGAGAGAGAAAGCGAGAAATCACACCCTAGGGAGTAGGGAGGATGGCCATGCCACAATCCCTTCTCCTCCAATCTCCTCTTGGGATTTTGAGTATATAAGCCCAGTGTGATAGTGTGATTTCCTTTTTTTTTTTTTCAAAGAATTTTTTATTTTATTTTATTTATTGTTACTTTTTGTTTTTGTTTTTTTTAATTTTCCCCAAGAGAGACATAGAGAGAAAGGGAAAGTGAGAAAGCAAGCTGCCAGATCCAGGACTTGAACCTTAGTTGGCCATGTGGGATCCAGTGCCTTAATCCCTACATCTCCTGCTGGCCCCATAAACTAATAATTTTATTTATACCAAAGGGCAGAGTCTTATTCATTTGTAGTTATTGTAATATGTAGGAATATTGCAAACTTTTTCTTAAGAATTATTTTATTTAACTTTATCCATTTATTTATTCCAATTTGACCAGAGAGGAACAGAGAAAGAAATTAAGAAAGCAAGCCACCAGGTCCAAGACCTGCAGTTGGCCATGTGGGAGTTCAATGCCCTTAACTATCACTCCACCTGCCAGCCCTGAGTATTGCAAACTTGAACAAAATTTTGTGTATGTATATATATATATATTTATTTAAATTTTTCCAGACAGCAATATGTGCTCTCCAGAGGAGGTGGAGGAGCACCCCTATGGGATTTGGTCATGATGCAATACCATCTCCATTTCTCTTTTCAAGATTTTGGGCACACATACACACACACACAAGTACCAGTGTGTTTTTCAAACCACAGGGATTTTTAGGACTTGAATAGTGCAGTCAGCCCTGTGGGATCCAGCTGTGTTGGAACCACCAGGCCATGGGCTGTCCTTGTTTATATTTTTAAATTTGTTATTAGCCAAATCCTACTGTCTAGCAAACTTTGAGAACAACAGTTTTATTATTATTAGTCTCTGCAGCACCACCAAGTAGCAATATTAAATACTATAATTGTACTTCTATGGTTTGTAAAATATTGAAATCTTGGGCCAGCAGATGGAGTGGTGGCCCAAGATACTGGATTCCCACATGGCTGACCACGGTTCAAGTTTCAGGCCTGGTGGCTTGAAAATCACACCACGTACATGTGTGTGCATGCCCAAAATCCCAAGAGGAGAATAGAAAAGAAAGGATTGCAGCATGGCCGTACCCCTGGGGATGATTTCTTACTTTCTCTCTCTGTCTCGCTCCTACAAGCGTATATAACCTA